ATCGTTGGAAGAACTTCAAACAATGCTCGAACAACTTCACCACACATCTGCGCAAGTAGGTTTAAAAATGAATTTATCTAAAACTAAAACCCTAAATGAAAATGAAGAGCAAGTTAATGTTCATGGACAAAGGATTGAGTACGTTAAAGAGTATATATATCTAGGTCATACCATAAAACTCGGCAAGGAAAATCAAACAACCGAAATTTCTAGAAGGATCAAACTCGGATGGGCAGCTTTTGGTAAACTTAACTTTATATTCAAAAGCAAAATCCCAAATAGCCTAAAAAGAGACGTTTACAACAAATGCGTCTTGCCTGTCATGACCTATGGTTTGAAGACTATGACGATGACGGCACGAAGTGTGAACAGGTTGCTTTCCATAGCTCTATCCAAAGAGCTATGGAAAGAGCCATGATGGGTATCAGTCTTCGCGACCACATTAGAAATGAAGACATTCGCCGACAAACGAGGATAACGGATATCGTAGAGAGGATAGCTAACTCTAAATGGTCTTGGGCAGGACACTTGGCCAGAGGAAAGATGGGCAAAAAGACTTCTTTGCTGGAGGCCACGCCTAGCAAAACGCCCAGTCGGCCGACCTCCTAAAAGATGGACTGATGATATCCAAACCGTAGCCGGTAAGAACTGGATGAGGAGAGCACAGAATCGAAACGAGTGGAAGAAACTGAGAGAGACCCACATTCTGCAGTGGATGAGTAATGGCTGAGAAGAGAACTGAAAACATGAATTATCAACACTCAAGTAAAAAAGCGTGGAGTCTACTAAAGAAATCAGGAAGTAGCATACCTACCAACAACATCGAGTCAATCTAACGAGAACATAGAAAAATAACGATAAACAAAAATCCAGGGAAATCAAATATGAGTTAAAATCCAAAATACTACAAGCTCAGCCATCCGAACTTTCAAGAAACATCTCTTCAGAAGAAATTTTCTCAGCCAGACGTGATATATATAATGCAAGAAGCGTTTAGCCCCTATCAGTAAATGACTATCCGGTCTTTGATTTCAAGCAAAGCGATGAGCTCTTCAATGTGCTACACAGGTTATATTTGTATCAAAAAAGTGGGGTGGTGACCCTCTAAGTGTCAAGATAGGGTCAGGCAAGAAGTACCTTTGGTTCCTTAAGATTTAATATTGGCAAAATATTTTTTACTGGAGTAATACTCTACGCCTATCTTCTAATCAAATTAAAACAAAGAAAAAACCTTTTTGTCAAAGGCTAGAGGATATTCCTACTGTAGAATTTTAGAATTTAGAATCTCTCTCTTCAGTCCTGACCCCCATTAGGGAGTGTAGTGGTCAGCGTAACATCATGGATGATTTTTCTCCATGCGCCTCTGTCTTTTGTCATCTCGATGACATCGTGCATTGGCTTGCTACAGCTAGTCGTGATCTGGTCTATCCATCGAGTTGGAGAGCGGCCACGTGGTCTACGTCCCTCCACCTTGCCTTGAATTATGAGTCTTTCCATATTGTCCGGGCTTTTCCTCATTATATGTCCAAAGTATTTTAGTTGTTTTAGTCGGATTTTACAGGAAAGCCTGTTAGTAATATTAAGTTCATTTATAATGGGAACGTTTGTACGGCGTTCTGTCCATGGGATACGGAGCATACGTCTATAACAATACATCTCGGTAGCATCGATCTTCTTACGTTCCGCCTGCCTGAGAGTCCACGATTCGCAGCCATACGTCAATATTGGGAGTAACAAACAGTTGACTAGCCGGTTTTTGGTGGCTCTTGAAATCTGGCGGTCCTTCCAGATCTTGGTCAGTCTCCCAACAGCTACCTTTGCCATGTTGCACTTACGCTTCACCTCTTCTTCCGATGTGCCTGTATTTGTCAATAGTGATCCCAGGTATACGTATGACTTAACGACTTCAAAGCGGTCGATATGACTTATATTTGGATGGTTGTTATGTTGCCTATCAACTATCATAATTTTGGTTTTTTGCGTATTTAGTTCCAGACCGAGCCGATTGCTTCGAGAATTTAGAATGAGTGGGGGTTAATCACTGCGACCTTGCAGATCTATTGTGTCCCCCTTTCTTGAGTTCTAACTCATCATACAGTCCTAGGGCTTTAACAAAAGCCAGTATCTACTACGGTTTTACAGAGGGTAGTTCTCCATCTCCAATATCAGTCGTACCAAAGTTCATGGCACGAATGGTTGTCGTCTCGGCGCACTTAGTGATGAGGTGTTCTGGTGTTTCCCCATTTTCCCTACAGAATCTGCATTCGCCCTTTCTTCTTAGTTTCAATCTACTGAAGTGTTCACAATAGACAGTGTCCTGTTAAAAACCCCGTGACAGTCCGAAGATTGTTCTTACTTAAATCCAGGAAGATCTTTGATTTTTCTTGGCCGTAAGCCCCCAGAAACTTCTTCGATATTCCTAGTGTACTGTTTGTTGATTTGCCTACAGAATGCTGAATTTCAATATGTTTATGTGGTCTTAATAAATTATATTCGTTTGTACCCCAAAACTATAGTGAGCCAGTCTTCATAAAGCGTTTTATTATTATCTCCTGTGTAATTTATGGTAGTGGGCCATTTTGTCAGTCACGCAATCCATTCGGTCAAGTCATCCGTGTACAAGGTCCGATATGCATACACATTTACGAGTAAAAAAATCAAACAACAATCATTATTACAGTGTATTGCGCAAATCAGGGTGAAATAAGATAACAATGGGGTATAGTGTTGTTTCTGTTGCATCCGTTCAAAATCCAAATTAAAGAGAAAGGGACGGATATAATAAAGGACACATCATCCTGGACGATGACGATTCGGCTAATTGTATGCAAAGAACCGTTTATAATTCGAACATAATAGACCAAATTTGGGCACGTAGTATTACTGTAAAATTGGTTCTTTGCGTAACATTTTAAACTCTTTTGTATTTTCTGTTTGTAAACACATTGCAATGCCAATGCGTATATTGAGTGAATAATGTCAAATTAAACAGTTTAGAACATATTCAGGTAATTACTGGTATTAATGTAATTCAGAATGTTTATTTTTTCTAATCGTGTGGCTAATTCTTGCATAGAGGAAGCAGGGCTAAACTAATGAATACTGAACAATAAACAAAAAATGTAGTATATAAAATACCATGTGAATACGATAAATTTTATATTGGTGAAACATCTAGACCCTAAATAAGACCCTTCACAATAATTCGAATTAAAGAACATAAAGATTAATTAAGAAAGGGCGACTTTCACAAATCTAAGATTTGTCAGCATTCATGGGACACAGGGCACAGAACAGGTTTTAACAACGCCAAAATTATAATGAAAGAAGCGATAGCCTCTAAAAGAAAAATAAAAGAGGCTTCTTTAACACAATCTAATAAAAATAAATGTATTGCTCATGCATCTGTAGATGTTAGTAATGTATGGCAATCGCTCCTTTGATTTTAAAGAATATAACATAAATAAACATAACATACGTAAAATTAAAAACAAATTAAAAATAATCATACAGGAAGGTTGAAGCTTTTTGGTTTTACCTTAAAAATAAAAAATTGTTATCAGGTAGTAATTATTGTTAATTTTGAAGTTTAACTTGATATAATGTCATTTTAACAGACCGTCAACGGTTTTTGTAGACGTATCTGTTTTAAAAAAAACTAAAGTGTTCTCGAATAGTTGCATTTAAATATTTTAAATAGTTTTTTATTTATTCTTTGTATTTTTTGCTTCCGACGACGGAAAGAGATAAACTTTCCGAAACGTTAAGCATTTTTTTGTTCGTTAGGAAAATTTGTTTATCAGTAAACCTAACTGTGGACAATTAATCTCCTTTGGATTAACATAGCAGTGTTTACAAAAAATAACTATTTTATTTTGTAGATTTTCTTGCAGTGGCGAAATACCCAAATAGGATTTTTTTGGAGAGATGATGTTAGTTTTTCATTTAAAAATATGTAAAAATATTTCAAGCAAAAATTGTTCTCAGGGTGGCAGATGCAAGACAAACATGAATCAGTGGGGCTACCTTGACGGATCTGTGTTGATGTTGGTTAAATATATTTTAAATTGTTATAAAATTCTGCATCTCTCATAGCAAATATTATTTTCGTTTTAATTGATGCTCACAGCTAGAATTTTTTTGCATTACAGCCGGTGCCGTTCAAAGCCTACTTATTTAAAGCGGGCGAATTTTTATATACTCTATATCTCCAAGAGAAATCGAGCAAAATATCAAGTGTGTTATATTTTTGGAAAGGTAATTCTAAATTATTTTCAATGAATTAAAAATATACAGGGTGTCCCATATAAAAAATCAAATTTTCTGTTGATAATTCTTAAATTATTAATTTTAAAAAATTATACTTAAACCATTAAATTCTACGTAAAAAGGTGCTTTGGAAATGTTTTCATAAAAATACAAAATTTGCCATAGCAAAAAAAGTTACAGCGATTTGTTTAAAATGCATATTTTTGAAAAACACCCCGTAACTCCGAAACGGTAACAAATATCGATATGCGGTTTCCACCATCATGTTTTTGACAAAAATTGAGCTCCAGACACCGATATTAGTTTTTGTCTATCTCCTATAGAAAAGGGTGTTTCCATTTAAAAGCGTCGAATTTGACCCACCCTGGACATGTTAGTTTGTCAAAATGAAGCATTTTTCAGCTATTTGCCTAAACTTGCCTGAAACTAAAATTTTACAGTCTTAAAGTATTCCCTTTTTTCAAGTTTTTAACGTCCTAAAATCCGAGCTTTAGTTATGTCTAACCGGGAACACTCTATGTGTTTAGGAATATGCATATGGTGTAATTTTGGAAATGATTAAACAAAATGATTTTGGAGAGTTACGGTTCAAAACTCTTTAGCACATATTGTAAGACACAAGTTATCATCAAAATAAACTTGCATTAATTCCATCGAGACATTAACAGTCAACACTAATAGTTTAATTATGTTTTAAATTTATACATATTTCGTCTGTAAAATTTTATTACCTCTTCTTTTTGTTTTCCTCAACTTTAGTCTGGACCACATTTTCTTCCACTTTGTTTTGGAACTTCCTCCTTTATCATCGTCGTTATCCTCTTCTTGTTCACTATCGTGATTTCCTTTTGAAACTACACGGTGTGTCAAACAGAATGTCCATGGTAACTTCATTTCTGATTGAACTGCTTTTTTTATTTAATACCGAACCAAAAACGAATAAATACCGTCACTTAACGTCGCGTGTGTCTTTTTTATCTTATGAACTACTACGATGATATAAAAAGAAAGTTCTCAAGATTTTTCTTTGCTTTCTATCTAGCGCGCAAGGAGGTTTAAGGTGAATTAAGGTCTTGAGACGTAATCGGAACGTTAGTTTCGGCAAATAAAAGTTAACGCCCTTTGTTACGTCCTATTGCGTATCATACTTACTACGGTTTATTATGAGATCTTAGTTAAGCGGAACGAGAGTTCAATTTAATTCGTCTGGGTCGCGCCCCGAAATTCATATCCTGAAACGGTGACAAGTCGATAACCAAAGATTTTATAAATGGTTTCAAATTTATAATAACTTACTATAGAACGAAGGGCTATTGATTAATTTGCCACAATAAGTTTTTCTTTTCAGAAAATATTTCAAATAATAAAATGTTTCCTGCAAACGATATGGGCTGAATATGAATTTGATAAAAACAAAATTCATAATTATTCTAAAAGACTAAAACATAAATACTGTAATATCAATAGACAGTACACCAATAGAAAAAGTCCTTTGAATAAGAAGACTAAAGGAAGGAGCATAATGCTATCTATATATTCATGCATGGTGGGCGGAAAAAGGACTCTAGGGTGGGGATCATTGACAGTTCTGTTTAACGATTCATTTGACACATTTGAATTTGATTTGAAATTTTGTGGATTTGTCAGTCTTTACGGAGCTTATTTTATGGTATTTATTATTTATTCTACTACTGATAGTTGTATAAAGGTAGTAAATCTAGATGGAAATTATGGCACAACTTAAATTAACAATGACACTATCGCGATTTATCGAAAAAGACTCTAAAATAGTTGGTTGTGTAGCGTGCGGTAGATCTCGGCAAAAATCGAGTGAAATAATGGAACAACTTTTCGCTAGTAAGTGACTATATACAGGGTGGCCCATCGAAAACGTTCCGCAAGGCATAACGGTTAGGGTATTTATTTTTTCAAAAAATCCAAAAACACGTCAATTTTGTTTGTGAGGGGAACAACTTTTGCCACAAAAATGATTGCAAAATATTCAACCCTCTAAGCGGGGGTGTCATCCCCTAACTTTTTTCAAATGGAAAGGGGGGTCAAATGGCGCCGCAGTGAAAAGAGCTTTCTATTCTCTATATTTCTACGCTTCGTTTTTGAAAATCGGTCGAGTCATTGAGAAAATATAAAGGATTGAAATTTGGAAAGTTTATTTAAGCATTTATCAGAGTAAATGATAATTAAGGATAAATTCGACCAATTTGCTGTTTTTTCTTATTACTTCTAGATGTTTACGCATTTTTTCACTTGCCACAACGTTGAACGATCAAGTGCGGTAGTTGCTAGATATCTGTTCTATGACTTGTACGTTGAAGTTCTTCTCAATATCGTTAAACTGACCTACAATAGAATTTCCAAAAATACCAGCCCACACGTTCAATTTCTGAAGGTTTTGTGTGTACACCTCGTGAAAAAATCTGGGGTTGTCCTCAGCCCAATACCGACAGTTGTGCCGATTAACTACACCGTTCAAAAAGAAAGTACACTCATCCGAAAAACACACATTAAATAGGAAATTATTATCATTCGCCACTCGTTCACTCATAGTTTCACAAAATTGCAAGCAACGATCAAAATCGTCTTCATTGAGTTCTTGTACCAACTGAATTTTGTACGGGTGGAACTTGTGTTTTTTTAATATCCTTTGGAAACTTGTACGATTCCCGCCGGTCTCATTGGCTAATTTTCTTGTACTCAGAATACTGTCCATGGCAACTTGGCCCAATACGAATACCTCCATAGCTTCATTTACTACAGGATTTTCCCTCTGCCTCTTTTTATTCATAACGGAACCAGTTTCGCGAAATTTTGCTACTAACTGACTAATTTTGCCATAAAGGTGTTTGTCAGGATGGCGTTCATTGAATATCTGCGCAACCCGATTGCGAACATCTAGAAATAATAAGAAAAAGCAGCAAATTGTTCGAAGGAATTTATCCTTATCATTTACTCTGATAAATGTTTAAAAAACTTTTCAAATTTCAATCCTTCATATTTTCCCAACGACTCGACCGATCTTCAAAAACGAAGCAGGAAAGTATAGAGAATAGAAAGCCCTTTTCATTGCGGTACCCCTTGAACCCCCTTCGCATTTGAAAAAAATCGGGGGGTGACACCCTCGCTTAGAGGGTTGAAGATTTTGCAATAATTTTTGGGGCAAAAGTTGTCACCCTCACAAACAAAATTGACGTGTTTTTGAATTTTCTGAAAAAAAATTTACCCTGGCCGTTATGCCTTGCGGAACGTTTTCCATGGGCCACCCTGTAATATACATATGTATAGTAAACCGATCATTTATGAAATTCACTTAAATTAACTAATTATATATTTTTTCTTGCATTTTTGCTTTTATTTAATACTTGTCAAAGATTAGATGTCAAAGAATTTAGATACGTCAATTACCTGCTTCAGTAGCGTATCGGATGTTTATGGTTATAAGTAATTATTATAACTTATCTATTTTTATTAGGATTTTATTTTTTATAATAATTTTAATAACTACCAACATTTATTCACAACGTAAAACAAATAAAAAAATATTGAGTCTACCCTACGTCTACCCTACACCATAGTTTTACATCTTTTAAATAAAATTAGAACGGCACTGATAAACCGGAATTTAAGTCGGCCATATTTGAGGCCCATCGCGGTGGACCTAAGATTTTTGATATGCTCCTTCCTTAGTCTTCTTATTCAAAGGAAAAGTCCAATACTACAAACACTTGGACACAATCATAAATAAAACTACCGAACAATTATAAGAAATAGAATCAGGGATTGAGATAGCCAGAAATTCTTTTCTAAAACTGAAGAAATTTCTTTGTAGGAGACACTTAAACTTACATTTAAGAAGAAGAATGCTCTGATGCTACGCCTTTTCAACGATATTGTATAGTGTCGAAGCATGGACCCTTAAAACAGCTGAGATCAACAAACTGGTGGCTTTCAAAAGATGGTCTTATCCACGTCTTATCGTCGCATGTTACGAATTTCTTAGGTTACAAGTATCGAGGTTCTGCGCTGTATGAAAAAAGGAAACGACCTTTAATAAAAACATAGAAGGCTTTTGCACATGTTATAAGAGGTCCTAAATATGAATTACTGCAGAATATTATAGAGGGAAATACAACGAGGGGCGTAGTCGGGGCAGAAGAAGAACATGCTGGCTGAACGATCTCAGAGAGTGGTATGGTTTTGACTTTGAGCCATGACAAATGCCAGTATCCGAGAAGGTTTTACAGAGGGTGTTCTCTATCTTCGATATCAGTCGTACCAAAAGTCTATGGCACGAATAGCTGTCGTCTCGGTTCACTCAGTGATGAGGTATTCTGGTGTTTCACCATTCTCCCCCACAGAATCTGCATTCACAGTTTTTTATTAGTTTCAGTCTACTGAGGTGTTCGTTGAGGAGACAGTATCCTGTTAGAAACCCCGTGACAAACCAAATATTGTATTCTTACTTAAATCTAGGAAAAATAAATTACCTTAAATTTACACCCTTCTATCATCAACATCTATTTTTAATAGCGATATTAGTAATTAAATAATTTTCAACCCCTGTCGATAACTGATCAATTATCACTTAATCAGTTATCCTCAGTTATCCTATAGTGTACCTATTCGCGCATATTTTGTTGCTGTTCATAAGGTAAAAAATTTAATCTAGTTTGTCTTGCTATAAATTATTGTAAAAATATACATATAAAGAAAAAAAATTATGTTAAAATTATTCCTCAGCCATGCTTAGAATGGGATCAAATCTAGTAGCGGATGAGGATAGATGTGCAAATTGCTAACTGGCATTAAAAATACAGACAGCTATTAATTATTGTAATACCTAGGGATTCACACCTATTCATCAGCTAGTTGAATAATTATACAATGGTGTATGCAATATACAGGGTGGTGCCTCTCATACGACGCGGAGGCTGTAAGGAGAACTACATCTTGTAATGAGATGAAATTTTGTTAGCATATGTAAGTTGATTTAGAGTATTTTTTTTAAAATATAGAGAGTTCTATAGGGTGTCCCCAAAAAAAGTTACACATCAAAGTTGTGTTTCTTGTAATGGAACACTCTATATATGAATTGATTTTCGGATTCTATATAGGAAATAAGAGTTTCATTAGAGAAATACATGGCTAAAATGTAAGGTTTTTGACATATTGAACATTTTCTATGAAGAACAAATTTTAAATTTTAATAAATGCTACCTATGATTTTGCGTCAGTAGATCTTTATTATTTGATAAATCTAGGTGGCTGTGATTTTGAAATTAGCTAGATAAAATTAAATGCTCAAAATTCTTCCATTCCTGTTTGCTGTATAAAATGATACTCTTTTCAAAAGATATTTTCATGTTAAGAGGCATATGTGAAGTACAACTTCGAAAAGCAGCCACTATCATTTCTTTCATGTAGTTAACAATAGTTGGCCGAATTTTGAAAACAATGTCTTGAGCATATCCTGATAAAAAAGTTAAGACTAGATAAATCGAGAGCATTTAGGTATTCTATTAATTGGTGAATGAACACTACAGTCCTCAACTAATAGAATCATATTATCAATTTTCTCTAATATATGATGTTTCCATTTACGGCAAATTTTTGATAATTCTATTTGTTGAATTCTATTTGCTGAAGTCTAATTCTTTGAAGTTAAACTAATTTGACATCTATGTTAAAGTAACGTCAAACAAATCACAGCCAAATAGATATTACCAAATAATAAAAATCTACTATCACTATATAAATCATAAAAATGAAAATATCAAGGAAAATCTTTGTTTGAGTGGTAGGTAACCCATAGTATTTTGAAGAGATATTTTATTTCTCCATTGAATATCGGAATAATATACTGGGTGTTCCATTTAAAAT